TCCATGAATGGACCATGATTTGATGCCAGGGACTGTGTCCTTTGTTCTCGGAGGCTTCTGAAACTTTAATGTGCCTACCGTTTCCCTGGGGATCTTGTCAACATGCAGATTCTGACTCCGGCTCGGGATGGGGCCTGAGCTGAAGAGCTCAGCAGCTTCCCGGGGAGGCCTTGATGCTTGTCTGAGGATGACTCTGCAGGCTGCGAATCCCCACCTCTGAACCCTGGGGGTGGCATACAGTTCGTGCCCCATTTTTCCTGATTGTTGAATGAGTGATATTTGATGCCTTTCGTCTGTGGCATTCCTAGTGTGAAACTCGCTTAACTGAAACACACACACGACTGATGCCTACTGAAGTCATATTTAACACTTGTTCTGATCAACTACACCATCTGCTTGCATTTAGAACCCTGACATCACCTCCTTCTTCAGTAGTAATACCAAGCATTCCCCTGGTTTAATACTAGTTGTGAGGTTCCCTCTCTGCACTATACATATATTAACTCTGTAAAGGTAAAATTTCTAAGCTGATTCTAAGCCGCAAAGCCTGAGTTAAAGTGTAAAAGACAGGGCATTGTAAAGTTTCTAAACTGCAAGGCCTGGGTTAAAAAGTAAAAGACCAGGTATTGTTAAAATTCCTCTGCTACCCCCAGAACCTGTAATCCCTGTAGCTGTTAGGACAATACTGGGACTGCCCAGTAAATATCCCCACTGTTTCCACTGGTTGTCTAATAACCTGGGATTCTGTGTAGTATGTCACGTAGTTATTTAGGCCCTAAAACCAATCAGTTTGAATGTGTACCCCGCTTAGGAGTGACCAATCACCCCTGCCCAGACTGTTCCCGCCAATGAATGTACTAATCCCGTCTCAGAGTTGTTGTTCAATTTTCCCACGCCTCATGATGATTTGTTCTGATGTATGCAAAGCCCCCCGCCCTCTCCAAAAAGTGTACTTAAGCTCTGCTTGGCCTCTGCTCTGGGCTCTGGGCTGCTCTATCTTCCTGAGTGAGCCTGGAGCCTCAGCATGCTGAATCAATAAAACCCCTTCTGCCAATTGCATGAAGACAGTCTCTTGTGGTCTCTTCCTCCGCCGCTTCGCCGGACCCTTACAACTCCTCTCACCTGCAGAATAGGCCTGGAAGTTAGGATATTACTGAAGATAATTCAGTAACTAACACTCTTCACCCCAGGATGAATCAAACACAGCAGACATTTGTATCTGTTCACACATAACCTCACACGGTGCTCCAATTGGTGGGTAGATCTCCTCCAGGCAGTGACTCGGGGACTCAGGGACGCGTCTTCAACATGTGGCTTCCATGTCATTATGCTTGTTTGTACCACAGGGCTGGGAAGGGAATTGGGATGTGGGATCAAGGAGTGGCTTTCATCCCCTCTGTTCATTCTTTGGCTACTACTCAAGCACATAACTAAACTAAAAGGGAAGTTAGAAAATGCGGTTTAGCTGTAGGCACTGGAAAAAGAGGAGGAATTTTTGATAAAAGTAATCTGAGTGTGACTTTCCTAGATATTGGAAATTGTTTACTCTTTTCCTGCTGCTATACAAGGACACAGTGACCAGTCCTTTTGCTCTCAGGTAGATGGGCACCCAACAACAATTCCTGGGTGGGAGGCAAAGCTCTGGGTACATTTATGCCAGGATCAAGGATTTGACTCTTGATCTGTGGCCCTTTCCCCCAGAGTGGGCAGGGTAGGGTGGGGGGACGGCACTGCAGCCTGCTGTGACCAGGTCAGGATAGGGGTCAGCTCCTGGCAAGTAGGCACGCCAGACCTCTTAGGAGGGACAGTATTTATGGTCAGGTAGAGTGACAGTGTTGGGAGATTTGTGTCTTGGGAGCTGGGGAGGCACTGGGAGGAGGGTCATGGTGGCAACGGATGTCTGTGGCCTGAACCACTCGTTTGCTTAAAACTGCAGCTCAGTTCCTCGTCAGCCTCCGGGAGCCGTCTGCGTCCTGACTGTGTTTAATGAGCCTCTGTGGGACCTGACTTTCTATGGAACCTGGCCATGTCCCTGTGCTGTGTCCACCATGCCGTCCACCTGCAGCTGGTCACCACTGGAGTTTCCTGAAGGCAGCTTGAGACGTCTGAAGTATTAACTCAACGTGGATCCAGACAGCAAAAACCAAGGGAAGCCGACTCAAGAGCAACGGAACCAAATTCGAGGAAAAATCACCCCACGTTCTGTAAAAATATATTTTTCATAGAAAAAGAGTTTCTAATTGACAGAATGTCCTTTACACTAGAGAGTTCCAGGGCAAGGCCCGGCAGCTCATCAGTGTTATTCAGAGCAGGAGATATCTTCTGAACTCAAGTGGCTTTGCAGTGCTGCTGCCTCTTGTTCTGGGACAATGGTTTAAAAACTGGGACTCCAACACCCAACTCTCCAAAAGCATTGGTGTGTAAGGATCCAGCGAAGCGTCGGAGGAAGAGACCACAAGAGACTGGCTTCATGCAATAAGCAGGAGGGAGTTTATTGAGGATCCAATTCAGCATGCTGAGGTTCAAGGCTCACTCAGGAAGGGAGAGCGGCCCAGAGCCCCGAGCAGAGGTCAAGCAGAGCTTAAGTACACTTTTTGGGGAGGGTGGGAGCTTTGCATACATCAGAACAAATCATCATGAGGCGTGGGAAAATTGAACAACAACTCTGAGACATGATTAGTACATTCGTTGGCGGGAACAGATTGAACAGGGGTGATTGATCACTTCTAAGTGGGGTACACATTCAAACTGATTGGTTTTGGGCCTAAATGCCTACGTGACATACTACACAGAGTTCCAGGTTATTAGACAACCAGGGAGTCAGTGGGAATATTTACTGGGCAGTTCAGGTATTGTCCTAACAGCTACAGGGATTACAGGTTCTGGGGGTAGCAGAGGAATTTAACAATACTTGGTCTTTTATTTTTTTAACCCAGGCCTTGCAGCTTGGAAACTTTATAATGCCCGGTCTTTTACACTTTAACTTTTAAACTTTAACTTCAATTTCTTTTACTCTTACAGGTGGGGGCTTTTCATATAGAATCTCGCTACTTACTTACAGCAGTAAGGTGCCAGGGAGGGAGGGAGGGGTAGAACATTTTTGAAAGAAGGAAATGTGTTACTCTGGTGCCCCTCCTGTTGACAAATGTGGCATGATAGTTCGTAAGTCCACCACCAGGTCTTCAAGAGGCAATAAACTGTCGTGGGTCAGAGCAGGGCTGTGGAGCCAGACTGCTTGAATTCAAACCCTGGCGCTGCCACTTATCAGCTGTATGACTTATTCAAGTTGGTGAAGTGCCCCTGCCTCAGTTTCCTAGTCTACAACATGGAGAGGATAGCATGGCATTTCCCAAACCATCTGGCTCTTTCTGGGCGTGAAGCTAGGCTGCATTTCCAGCTTCCTCTTAGTTAGGGATGGCCTTGCGCTTGAGTAACAGCTAGTGAATCCTACCCAGGCAGATAAACAGGCGATCACACAGACAAGGGAAGTGACCTGTACGTCTCTCTCGATTCCACATGCTGATTTCTTTCCCACCCCCAACACATAGAGAGGAACAGTGGCTTAGAGGCCACAGAGTAGAAGGAGCCTGGGTCCCTGAGTCTCTGGCTGGAGGAGAGCCACCCACAAGAAGAAGCACCCGGCAAGGGTCATGTATGAGAGAGAAGGGAACCCTGAGCTCCACTCGTACCTTTTGGGGTTGTCTGTTGCTGCGTAATTTAAGTGTTCTGGAGGTAAAATGAGTTGGAAGATTCCAGTGCTTGGAGGAGAGCCTTGGGAATGACATCTAGCCCTGAGGGACGGTTTGCTATTATTGTTAGGAGCTGAGGCGAAGCCAGGGCTCTCAGTCCAAGGGCTCAGAGGCTGTTGATGGGAACAAGTGTTAAACTTGGCCCCGCGGCAGCACACTTTTGTGCTTTGAACACTACTTTGTGTTTTCCACAAGTGTTTTTCTCTGTTCTTGGTCAGTTCCTAAGGATCCTAGCAGCGCCAAGCATTAACTAATAAGCTGTGCCTGTGTGCTGCAGCTGTGGAGAGGAGGGTCCCGTAAGAGCTGGCTGCACCCCATGGTCAACTCCTCGCCTCCTGCTGGCTGAGCCCCTGTCAATCATCCTCCACTGCCGCCTCCCGCTGCCTGATCTCAGGTGGAGGGTGATGGCATCTGCCCGTCATTAGGTGGGGGGGAACAGCTGAGTTGAAGCTAGAACCCCAGGAGCCATCCCGTGGCACAGCCAGAGCCAGCCAGCAGTGCCAGCAAGTGCCAAGGTCTCGGCTTGGCACAGAATCACGAGTCACCACACACTTGTAGGTTCAAACAGCGATTCTTTATTCCTGAACTCACACCGCCTCCACACAGGTTCAGGGGCAATCTCCATCCCCCCACCCCCCCATAATTCACCTCCTAAATACTTTCTCTCAGCGGGAACTCAGGCAGCAGGCACGCCCTACTCCCAGCAGGAATAATCTCAATCTCCAACTTCCCTAAAACTCCTATTGTCACACCCTAAACCCAAGGACGGGGATACTTCCTGCAGGATACACCTTAATCCTGGATCCACCCTGGTGATTGAGCAGGGTCACCTTTCTCAAACACACAAGCAAGGTCACAGCAAATTTCCAAGGCAAGTCCATTTAACATGGGGTACGCTGGCAAGGATTACGATGCGTCATTCCTACTTGGCAATGGCTCTCAGCAAGCAAGTCCCATGCACCAGTGCCTCATGCTGACCTCCCCCTGGCCCTCACCTCAGCAGAACCTCCTCCTCTCCCCTAATCCCCTCCTCTCTCTCAGCTCCCTGCAGTCCCGTCCTGGTCTCTGTGCCCGTGGCCTCTAGCACCTTCTGAGTCCCTTGCAGCAGGGCCTTCTCTTGCCGGGGCATCTCGAGCTGTGGAAATGGACTTGGGTGCATTTGTTCAGTCTCAGAAGTCGATGTTCAAGCCTCGGCATGAAGTGAAGCCTGAAGTGGCCTCTCACCCCTCCGCAGGTGTGAGAGCTGGAACACCACAGGTGAGATGTGAAAGCAGACCTCGGGGGGCCTCAGCGGCCTTTTCCCACACCGGCCTGGCTCCCAGACAGCCACCCTGGGTTCTGTCAGTCCCTACGTGCGAGCAAGTGTGCCCACTCCTGCCAGGACCGGGGGACGCTGCTTTGCCGGGGGCTGGGGATCGCGGGGGCTGGGGATCGCAGGTCCTTGGAGCTGTGCTTTCTGCAGGGCGTGGGAGGGAGGGTGCTTGGGTCTGCAGCTGTCTGGTAACGTGGTTGTGTTTGGTGCTGGGATGAGCAGCGCCCGGTGGACACGCTCACTGTGTGTGGGCTGGAAGGGGACGTCCCTGTGGCTGGGAGGCTGGGAGTCCCAGGGCCTGCCAGGGACATCGCTCAACCAGGCCACGCAGGCGTCACCTCGATTGCTCCTTTTCCCTGGCTCAGGTTTCTGCCTCTTGTGTGTCATAAATAAGACTCATTCACATTTGTAATTTGCTGTAGTTTGGTGTATTCCCTCCAAAACCCATGTGTTGAAGACAGCACTGAGACTTAGGCCTTTGAGAGGTGGCCAGCTCCCTGGGGCCCCACCTGGCCAATGGTGTGTGACCCTTACTAAAGAGGCTCTGGGAGGGTTGCCTTCCCCTCCTTCCCCTTCCCCTCCAGGGGGCAGCCAGGCTCCACCCTGGGAGGAGAGACTGAACCTCCTGGGGACTTGACCTGTTCTTTCCAATTCACCCGTCTCCGACGTTTTGTTATAGCAGCACCAACAGACTGAGACCGATGCTGTTCCTAGGAAGAGCGACAGAGAAGTTCCCCTCAGGTCGGGACACTTGTGTCAGTGTGGGTGTCGGTTGCTGGAGTCCCCCTCCTCTGGGCGAGATGGGGGCAGGGGACCAGGGTCTGCTGTGCTCCCACAGTGCCAGGCCGGGAGCAGGCGAGGAAGAGCTGGTAAAGGATAGGTGAAGAGGGGAGGGTGGAGGCTTTCTTCATCCAGTGGCAGCTCGGAGCACTGGGACACCCACGGCCTCTGGGAATGTTCAAAATGAAGCTTCTGACAAAACAGAAATGCGATGACAGCACGTCACGAGCCGAGTCTGATGATGTACATGCAAATGGCCAAAGGAGCATCGGAAACCTCGGGCTCTTTTCTTTTTTGACATCTTCTGTGTCTGAAAGCTACTAGGAACCTCAAGACATTTCTTTTATTATGGTGCTGGTCTTCTGTTGTGCTACCATGATCAAAACTTAGAAATACGGGGTCATTTTAGTTAAATAGATGGTAATTATCACATAAAACCGTGCGGCACAACTAGAATGAATATGTTGATGATCACTGTCCATTCTTCAGCTAATAAGCAAGCGTGTCCTCCTATGTGCTCAATGATCCCTGATTTGGTTGCTGACATAGAAAGATGATTTTCCTATTTCCTCTGTCCTGGGTTATTTATTTAAGTTAGAGGGTGATGAAGGAGGAGTGAGTTTAAGATATTTCAAATTTCCTAAAAACTTAGAAAATAGGGATCATTGCTCTTCTGTAGGATGTCAAGGCCGGAACGGATCCTGTATTGTGGCATGAGAATCAGGATCCACCCCTGGGGACTCTGTGGTCAGAGGGCACCTGTGAAGAGGGCTGTGGCTTGCTGAACGCGTACCGTGTCCCCCTGACGTGTATGATGACATTGTGACTGGGATTCTACCTCCATCCCACACAGGGGAACTCTGGGTTTTGATCTTCAGTTTGCCCAGGACTTCACAGAGGCAGAGTGGGAGTGGGGCAGAGCCTTGTCGGATTCTAAAGCAGTTTCCTGACTGTGGTAGAAAGCACAAAATGAGGAGGACGGCCTCTCATGGCTTCTTTCCCTCTTGAAAACGATTCATCTGATTCTCTTGCTCTGCCCTTGTCATGCCAGACCACCCAGCTATCCCACTCTCTGTGTTATTTTTTCTAAGTTGTCATTTCCAACTTTTAAGAAATAACTCAGAATTTTCTTCTTTCATGAGCCTCTTTGAAGATGTGTCAGGGGCGGGTTACCGTCCCCCCTGCTGCCCTTTCTTCCTGCCTGGTGAGCACACAGCTCCGAGGTGTCCAGCTCCCTTACAGGAGATGGGGCCGTGTGCTGAGCACTAGCCAGTGGGCCTGGGCCGGGTGGTGCCTGCACTTCCAGACCTGGCCATGCCACGTTCCCAAGGGGGCTCCTCCTGCTCCGTCCTCTGCAGCAGGGAGGAGGACTCCGAGGACCCAGAGACAGCAGAGCTGTGAGCAGGAGGAGCCTGATTCCCCATGACTGCAAGGGACGGGGGACATCTGGTCCACCTGTGTTGACTTTTGAGTGGCAAGAAAAAGACTGTATTATGGTGATGTTGAGATCCTGGGGTTGTGTACTAAAGCACTAGGCATTTCTCGAGTGTTATGATTATATATTCTCTCTCTCTCTCTCTCTCTCTCTCTCTCTCTCTCTCTCTCTCTGCTGAGGACTGAGCCCTGGGCCTTGTGCATGTGAGGCAAGTGCTGTACCACTGAGGTACATCCCAGCCCTTCATTTCCTCGTATTCTCTGTCACACACAGTACATTGTTGTCTTAGCCCATTTTTGTTGCTCTGATGAGATACCCAAGGCTGGTACTTTACAAAGAAGAGGAGTTCATTTAGCTCACGGTTTGGGGGCTGAAAGCCTGCGATTCTGTGAGTCCATCTGTTTGGCAGCTGACGAGGGCAGAGAAGGGGAACTGGTCATGTGGGGAAGGGCCAAGTGTGGGGTGGCCTCGCTCTTGAACAGTCTGTCCTGGTGAAAACCAACCCGCTCCGTGAGTCCAGCATCTCTCCCTCTGAGGTCGGGCTCCTGACTGTCCTCATTCCTCACGGTGGCCTCCACCTCTTCAAGGTTCTGTGCCTCCCCACATGTCACACGCACCCCACTTCCAGCCCACAGACCTCTTGGGGTACAAACCACATCCAGACTGTAGCGGCTGGCAGATACGTTATGGATGTTCAAGGTGTTCACTAAACATGGATCCTCAGTGTCGTCGTGAACGTAGGGTGGGAGGGGGCGCCTGTGGAGGGTGACCCTCATAACGGTGTGCTTCCTTTCAGGGCCAGCTCTTGGTTTCTTCAGGGACTTCCTGTGCCTGTGGCAATGCTGACACCTTGGTGTGAGCCTAGTGCTTCCCAGGGTTACGAGGACTTGCTTGCCCACTCGTCCATCCCCTTGGTGTGCCCCGGTTTAATTAGCCTTCCTCTGATTGTGGGTGATGGAGGTCCTTTCTGTTTCTTCACAGTTTAAACCAGCGCAGTGACCCTCTGCTCATCCCTGATGTCTCATAAGAAGATGACTTTAAGCCGACCACGTCGACTGTTCTTTAGAGTCATGGTTGACTTTCAGCTCCTCTCCCAGGGTGCTGCAGGGAGAGGCAGAGGGCCAGGCCAGAGCTCCCGGACCGCCTGCTCAGGTGTGTGGTGAGTCGCAGTTGGGACGGGAAGACAGCAATAGCGCCTGCTGATTTCTGTGCCTTTAGCCAAGCCCGTGCTTCCTATTAATTGAGCATTCTCTTAGCAGGTCCTATCCATGTACAGATACCTCTGTTGGGGAGTGTCCATATGCAGGCAGCACTAGGTCTTTTGGACGACCTAGTAAGGCTATTTATTTTTGCAATATGTTAACCTGGGTCAGTGTTCAAAAGTTAAATATAAATGTAATGCACATACATACACATACAAACTCAAATTGTCTTTGTAACTCTCGTTCATATTTTATTTTGTACAAGGCAGCCGATGATTTCAGGTTCCTGGGTATCTTTTGAAGTAATTTAGCTTGTACACACAGTACAGTGTGTTCTTCCATGAATCGTAGCTTATCACGGGAGCACTGCTCTGAACCGTGCTGTTTCCCCGAGCTGGCGCACCTTGGCAGATGTTCTGCAGAAGGCACCCAGAGCCTTCCTTGTAGAGCCGATTCCATGATTTAATTGTAGTCTACTATAATTTAATTATATCAGTATACTGTAATTTAATTACTAATTGTCTATCAATGATGTTTCCAAACAACCTTTGTTTTCTTTTGAAGTTACCAACAAACTGTGGTGAAAAGGCCTGTCTGGGGCTGATTTTGTAGCTGGGCAACTGCTTCTGCACAACAGATTGCTCCAAGCTGGATCCCCCCTCAGTGGGCCTCTCAGTTGGTTCCTGGTATGTAACCCGCCATCTCAAAACGTGATGGCTTGAAACAAAGAACATTTAGCATTTAGTATCAAGAGAAGTCTACAATGCTGTGTGGTGTCTCTAGAGATTGGGGCAAATCTTCACTGGGATCAGCAGGGGTTGGTCAGTATCTGCTGCCTGCTGATGGGTGGGCGTGGGTCTGGCTAGTCCTGGGTGGGCTCACGCACTTGTCAGCATTTGGCTAGAAAGTCAGAGGCACCTGAGCCGTGTACCTTACCTCCAGGTGCCAGTATGGCTTGTTCATGCGGAGATGAGAATTCAGGGGCAGAAGGAGCGTGGGAGGGCTCTTGGGGTCTCCCTCAACACTGGTGCACCACCGCATTCTGCTGGCCAAAGACATGCCCAGGTTCAAGGGCAGGTGAAATAGATTCCAGCTCCTGATGGTGGTCACATTGCAAACGTGTAGCATCGCTTTGTAAGGCCAGAGCCATCTTGTCAAGAGGCTACCATGGGAGGCACAGTGGACATTTTGAAAGACTCTTGAAGAGGGCCATCTGTCACATTTCCCAGTGGACGCCTCTGCCAGGAATGTCTGGAGTGCCTTTTTCATGTCTTATCGAGCATATTAGCAAAGTTTTAGATTTTTGCCAATTTGATACGTGGAAATATAATCTTAGTCCACTTTAACGTTTACTTCTGTTGTTTTTATGTGGTGGATTGGTATTTCCTTCCTGTGGATTGTCCCTTCAGACTCCTCCAGGTCAACAGCTCTAGGCAGCACAGTGTGTGGTGAAGGGAGAGACCCACGGCTGTGGCGAGGGAGGTAAGGCCAGGAAGCCGACTGAGGTCAGGGTACCTGACATTTTTATTTAAAGAAATCTGGATTTTATCCTGGGGAGCAAAGAAAGAATGTTGAGTTTTGAAGCCAGGAAAGTGCCCCTGGAGCTGAGCTAGGTTCAGAGATAGCTGCAGGGTGTGGAGAGAGTGGGCAACGGAGGCTCCGAGAGGGGCTCTTGCAGTGGCCCAGGGAAGGGGTGTCAGGGGATGGCAAGCCCAGGACTGCCATTAACTCAGACAACCAGGACAGCAGAGCGACTGGCTCTCTGGGGCAGATGGCCAGCTGGCTTTTGTTAATCTCCTCGAATGAAATGTGCTCGAGACACCCCCTGGGAGATGTCTAGCACGTGGTTCATGTTTGAGCCTGCCGCTTAGGACCAAGGTCGGGACTGGAACTAACGATTGGAGAGTCATCCACAGAAAGGTGAGAGTCAGGAGAGAGAGTTCCGTGAATCAAGAGCCAGGATGGGGTCTGGCAAAAGACTCATTTTAAGGGATGAGTGTTCAAAAAGGAAACAGTGAAAAGCCTGAGCAATAGCAGTCCTGATTGCCAAGGCTCTTGGCAGCTGTAGAATCCAGCAGTACTCTGGACGTGATGAAGGCATTAGCCTGTTCCACATGTGGTCTAACCCGGAGGCTCTGTTCTGGCACCAGCGAGCACCTCTTGCCTTCTGCCTTTCCCAGTGGCCTGGCTGGTGCTGCTTTCATTCCACGGCCTGCGTTGGAGGCGTCTGTGGTGTGTCAGCAGTCTGTCCCACTTGTCTTCAATCTGAGGAGGAAACAGCTCACGACATTAAATTGCAGCCAGCACAGCCCCATTGCTGCCGGGATGATTGTCCTCAGCACGGTGTTGCGGGTAGATTTATCTTTGTATTTGCTATTAACTTTGGCTCACTGGGAACTCTGACAGAATGGTCTGCAAGCTGAATTGGACATCAGCAACTAGTCCAAATTCTGCATCTACTCAGTGGGTTGGGTGCTGAGTTCTGATGTAGAATGCTGAGTCAGCAGGCCACGCTTCCTCACCTCTGGAAAGATGTGCCACTCTGAGGCTTTGTAAAAATCTTACCAGTGGCCATAGAGACCTCATCGATAGAGAGGGTGCAAGCTGCTCTCTGCAAATGAATTTAGATGCACAAAAATGTTTTGATTTGGTGAGTGGTTCTAAGGGGGGGCCATTTCCCATATACCCAAAGAGAACAACTTGATTAAATCAAACTTCCATTAAAAAAATTATATATAACCCTAATAACTATTAAGGAATTGGGTGTATGTGAGGGAGAAATGTTTATAAACTAAAAATTGTGTATTATATGATGTTTAAAAATATATATGCAATGTGTAATGGCTAAATCTAGCTAATTAAAAATTATATCATGAGTTCTTTTTCTTTTTCTTTTTCCTTTTCTTTTTTTTAGTGGCAAGAGCATTTTTTAAGAGTATAAGATTGTTCCTATCTGCAGTCACCATGTTGTCCAATAGACTCTTGAACTTATTTCTCTACTTTGCTGGGAGTTGCTGACCAGCATCCCTCCCTGTGAGAAGAATTTCTGAAACATTTTCTTAAGGAACAGCTCCAAGACCACCGAATTTCAAGACTGAGCAGGCACAGCAGTGGCGCACTCTTAGGTAATTCTTAGGAAACCTGGAAGTAGAAGTTCTTCTGACAGAGTGTGCCTTGGCACCCTCTCTTAAGAACAGTTACCGTTTGGACTTGTAAAGCAGATGGCCTGTAGACGGGGTGTGTGCATCTTACTTCATGAGCTCTGCTTCACCTGGTGCAGGACTTCACAGGACCAGTCACCTTCAAGAAGGCACGGACTTTGAGGTCTGAGGAGACAGGGGACAAATAAATAAATGTATGTATGAAGCCAAAAACATATTGCCTCACCCTTCACTCAGGGTTAGACCTCAGCTTCCAAAACCCCAGGGCAGAGTCAGAATGGCTTCATCAGGGATTCTCAAAGCTTGGTTTCTGGTCAAGCTGCAGGTGTGTGACTTTGGAAGGTGTTAGAAACGTGTTTTTTCTTAAATCCCTGTCTCACCATGCACAAAACTCAATCAAAGTGGATCAAGGACCTAGGAATTAGTCCAGAGACCCTGCACCTAATAGAAGAAAAAGTAGGCCCTAATCTTCATCATGTGGGATTAGGTCCCAAGTTCCTTAACAAGATTTCTATAGCTCAAGAAATAAAACCAAGAATCAATAAATGGGATGGATTTGAACTGAAAAGCTTCCTCTCAGCAAAAGAAACAATCAGTGAGGTTAAGAGAGCCTACAGAATGGGCTCAGATGTTTACCACATGCACATCAGATCCAGCACTAATCTCCAAGATACATAAAGAACTCAAAAAACACCAAAACAAACAAACAAACAAAAACAATCCAATCAATAAATCCGTAAAGGAATTGAACAGATACTTCTCAGAAGGTGATATACAGTCAATCAACCCAAATATATGAAAAAATGTTCAACATCTCTAGCAATTAGAGAAATGAAAATCAAAACTACTCTAAGATTTCATCTCACTCCAGTCAGAATGACAGTTATTATGAAGACAAACAACAATAAGTGTTGGCGAGGATGTGGGAGAAAAAGGCACAGTCATACATTGCTGGTGGGACTGCAAATTGGTGTAGCCAATATGGAAAGCAGTATGGAGATTTCTTTGAAAACTTGGAATAGAACCACCATTTGACCCAGCTATTCCATTCTTCGGTCTATACCCCAAATACTTGAAAACAGCATACTATAGTGACACAGTCACATCAATGTTTATAGCGGCTCAATTCATAATAGCTAAACTGTGAAACCAAATTAAATGCCCTTCAAAAGATGAATGGATAAATAAACTGTGGTATATATACACAATGGAATATTACTCAGCATTAAAAGAGCATAAAATCATGGCATTTGCAGGTAAATGGATGGAGTTGGAGAATATCATGCTAAGTGAACTAAGCCAATCCCCAAAACCAAAGGCTGAATGTTTTCTCCGATAAGTGGATGCTGATCCATAATGGGGGTCACGGAGGAATGGAGGAACTTTGGGCAAAGGGGAGGGAGAGGAAGGGAGGGGGCATGAGGGAAGGAAAGATGGTGGACTGAGATGGACATCATTACCCTAGGTACATGTATGAAGACACGAATGGTGTGACTCTACTTTGTGTATGAACAGAAAAATGAAAAATTGTGTTCCATATGTGTACTATGAATTGAAATGCATTCTGCTGTCATGTATAACAAATTTAGAACAAATAAGTAAATTAATGAATTAAAAAAAATAAACGTGATTTCTCACTCTCCACCCCCCCATTTCTACAGAATCATTTCATTTAGAATCATTAGCTAAGGAATCCAATATGCTGTGTTTTAACAAGCCTGCCACATGATTCTGATGAAAATAGAATCTGAAACTCATCCTTGATCTAGATCACACTATCTTCTCCTCTTGGGGCATATATATCTCTATCTATCTATCTATCTATCTATCTATCTATCTATCTATCTATCTATCTATCTATATTTAGGTTTTAGGCATATTACAGTGTTATAGATTGTATATGTGTTCTCAGATAAATCTATGTTAACAGAACCTGGCATGAATCACTATAGAAAAATCAGTTCCAAAAAAACTAAAGTTTTTCCTTTTGACATTATTCAATAGGTATTGCTTCCAAACACGACAAAAATATTCTTGGACAAGAAATTGTAGCACCAAAGTTTAAAATGCAAAAATAAATAAATAAATAAATATAAAGAAAAGAAAAAATTCTCGAGTTAAGTAGCATTCCAATTTTTTCTGCTATTTCCTCTTAGAACACATATTCAGCATGATTATGACTCAGTTGTATATAGCATTGGATTCTTACTGAGCAAGACTGGAAGGATGTGGCCAGTCTTAAATTCTCTGTTTGAGCTGAAAGTCATTTTTCAGGTGTCTACAGAAGATACCAATTTGATGACCTGTTCCCCTAAAACCTTAATCAGTAGTTAATTATAGTTAATGATACATTTTTCAGGAGCACAGCTGTTAAGTATCTTTCTGAAAATATGTTGAATTAAAAAAATTATCAGTCTTGTCAATTTTCTTTTGGTACTGGGGATTGAACATGGGGTGCTTTACCACTGAGCCACATCTCCAGCCCTTTCTTGATTTTTAAAATTTTGAGACAGGGTCTCACTAAGTTGCTGAGGCTGGCCTTGAACTTGCAATCCTCCTTCCAAGATGCTGGGATTATAGGCGTGTGCCACTGCACCCAGCAATCTTGGTAAATTCTTATGCATGTTTATTATTATGGTCTGTTCTACTCATCAAATCAGGATATATAGTGGAGATCCTTCAAAAAAAAAAAAAAATCTTCCGGTTGGTCTAAAACTCTCCTAACACCAGTATTAATTTTCTTCTTTTTGGAGTAGAAAATTTACTTAATTTAAATTAAGCAACAGAAATCCTAAAGTTCCCTGCACCACTTTCTTATAGCCTGTCTCAGTGTTTGAAGTCTGCCTAGTTTATTAATTCTGGGAATTCACTTATTGTACATACACTTCCTTAAACCTGTATTAGGGCAAGAAGTGGCCCTAAACCCTGCACTAGGGACTCGTCCCCTTGTTTAACCCTGCATGGGTTTTCCTGGGGTTTAGCCCTGGGATGGCTCCGGGTGGATGTACCATGGCCCTGGTCTCTGCCCCCTGGAGAGGAGCCTATGCTCATCCTCCTTTGTGTTGTAAAGGACCTCCGGCTGCTCTGAGGCGGCCACGTGGAGGCCAGCCCGGCCACCTGTCTCCTTCATCAGCAGAGGTGATGGACACTGCCCACCTTGGGGCACAGAGATGAAAATGGGTTTCATGGCTAAGGACCATCATTTCCCCTTCTCTGTGGATTCAGTTATTTTGGCGACTGTTGTCTCGAAGCACTAGCTGGAAAATTCCAGAAATAAACAGTTTTAAATAAATTTTATTGCACTATTTTGCTATGATTGTTCTATTATTAGTTATTCTCATTAACCCTTGACATGCCTAATTTGGGAACCAAACTTTATCACCAGTGCCAGGCATCCACTGAGGACCCCAGAATGTGTCCCCCTGGATAGGGTGTCAACTGTGTTGCTCCATCTGACATCGAGTGGGGAATCATTGACTGGACACAGACTTCAAAGGGTCTTTGTACCTTGGGGACCTGAAGGAGCTACCTGATTTATCAAAGTCATTCAAAACACTCTGCCTAGAGATGGAGCCTTACAAGCCTCAGGACCTAAAGGGAACCTAGAAACAAGTGATTCCACTTATTCTCTGGACAAACAGAGCACCTGATTTAATTTTCTCCCTTAACATTAGGGAAATGGAGGTCAAAGACCTTGCCCCAAACAGCCTTGCTTTGTTAATTAAGGTGAGATCCCAGGTTAGGTGCAGGTGTGCTGAGTCGGGCTCTGTAGCCCTTTCTTCTCTCGTCTCTGACACTGTATTTTGCAATCTCAGGCTCCTGTGTACCTTGAAGAGGTGGAGCATCAGCTGATGTGTTTTGGTGTTGAACTCCACCGTCTTGGTCATCCTCCTCACGCACACTGACCCTAATGCCATTGACACTCAGGCATGCAGGGCACATTCAGAGCACATTCAGAGCACATTGTCCAGGTCTGTGCAACTCTGGTGACAGGGTTTACTTCCGACTCCTCCACAGGCCATTTATTTGTTGCCATTTGTAAGGTTTGGAGCAGATGCTGAACTGGAAGAAGATTCTGGTTGTTTACAACAAGTGTCGGGGGGTGGGACACGATGCCAACAGCTGTAGTGGGAAGAGGGGGAGATGCATGATGAGCAATAGAGTTCTGGGGTCGGTCCCTGCCCTCAGGCTCAGCTGGCATGAGATTGATGGCTAGAGTAACTTTTCCCCGTCCAAACAAAAGCAATGCAAGGGCCATTAACCTCCTGCGTGGGAGACCTCGGGCTTTTTCAGGAACTACAAGTTGGAACATGCTTCAGATAATTTCAATTTAACAAATATGAAGCATTCGCTGTATGCTTGGCACAGTGTGAAGCCCTGTGGGGGACAGAAATGGATGTGGCAATGTCTTCAGCCCCAATATCTCCAGTTTACAGCAATGGGACTGACATGAGAATACAAGTTAGTACAATAGAAAGGAGGAATAAGGTCATTTACTTTAAAGACTTTAAAATTCAAAATATCACGGTGCAAAGACTATGAATTTCAGAATCACCGAGACACCGGTTCTGTTTCTGAGCTTGCCAATTAGGAGCCTTAGGAACTTGAGTAAACCTTTAACATTTCTTCTCCTTTCTGCTTCCTTACAAAGTGCCACAGGGTTATTGCACGGGAAAAGTCACAATTTCATATGCAAAGTGCCTGTTATACTGTGGTACATCACAGATGCTGGGGAGTGGGAGATAGGGGACGGAGGGAGAGCAGGTGGAGTCAGGAAGGGGCTTGGGCGGGGTCTGCCTGACGATGAAGGTCAGCAGGAGCAGCAGGAGATAAGCCAGAGGCTGAGAAGGAGCTACAGAGCTGGGGTGGCTAGGGCACTGGGTGTGGCAGGAGGGTGTTTTGGAAGAGCCTTGAAAACAGAAGAGCAGAGTTATTAGACCAAGGGAGACCTGGAGGAGAGGTTAAGAATAAGGCCAGGAAACACTCGGACATTTCACCTGAAGAAGAGGACGGGATGGTGCTACCCGAGGACCCCCCCACCTCCCGTCAACCTCGACTCAGTGAGTCCTGTGGTAGAGGGGTCTAGCCACATCCCGATTCCTCCCCAAGTGCCTGTGAGCGGGAACAGGAAGGTCCTGATGTCCCCCCTCCTCGGCTGGAAGTGCCCCCTCCTTGGGCAGAGATGGGTGTGGACTGGGTCATCTCCAGGACGGTGATCCATCATGGCCCTGGCGTACAAGACCTGGTGCCGTGAGGATGGTCACTCCCCTGAGTGGAGTCTTAATGCTGGACCTGCATCCTGTCTGTGGCCGGCAGGCCTTGTGTGGTCCGTGGGAGAGGATGGTGGAGGGAGAGTGGCTTCTGTTTGGAGCGTGCGGGTCACACGGTTTTAGACTTGACAGGCACTTGGCTGGTTATTGCAGCACAGAGGTCTGGAGGAGGGACACCAAGTGACCATGGACACACAGCAGACCGATGACTGGGAGCTGAGGTGCCGGTCTACTGATTTCTGTGCCAGGTTTCTCATTGCACGTGGCCTCTGCCCAGTAGAAATCCAACACACGCGCATATGTTCGTATCTGTTTTGCATCCGCTGACTCCATATTCATTTAATAAAACCCAGTTAAAATGTTTCTCCTTCGAGAATATTTCAGTGGCTTCTCCAGAGGGAGTGAATCACTTGGTCCTGTGTGTCATCCTAGGACTCTGAATTTATCTGGATGGAGATACCTCCTGCTTGCTCTCTTCCCGTCTAGTCTAGTTTGTCATTTCCCTGTGACCTAGCTCAGAATAGATGCTTATTAAACAGGTGTTTGGTAAATGAAGAGTGAATGCATGAATAAGCGAATGGATGAATGTAGCCCACATCATCATGGAAGTCTTTCCTTGGAATCATAGATTAATCCTGATAATGTCTATAGAAATGGTTTTCCTGTGTAGCATGTGAAATGTAATAGTCTGAGCTCTGCATCACAGGGTTGAGTTTTAAAGCTCAACATCTTGTGATATTTATGGTGCTGAGGAATTTGTGACATTTTTATTGTTCAAAGGTAATGTTCTATGCAGATTGAAGGGCTTTTTGACTTTGCAATATGTAATGCTGGAAAAAAATCTACCTGAGCAGAGATGGATTTGAATAGGAACTTGGAATTAGTGAGTTTTGGAGGAGATAACTTTATGGCAGAGCAACTATGAAATGATGCCACCCTTACCTGTGAGGCCATAAAACGCACACCTGCAGCAAAGGTCATGCAAATTTAGTCTGGAATAGGGATTAGCAAAGTTAGTTCTCATTTTATGAAGTCAAAGGAAAGCATGGGCAGAGGGGAAACTGACCAGAACTAATCACCATGGTTTTGCTTTTTGAGATCATTGTTTTAAAGTTTCTGCAATTGAAAGGCACTTTAAATTTAAAATCAAAAGACATGCAAACCCTGGGCAGAAAGGTGAATTTCACTGTAATTGTCACCAAGTCCACCCACAGGACTTCACCCAAGTGTAAAGGAACCTGGCCGTCTGATGGTCACCTCAGTTGACAGATTCTCATTGGAAACACCACTTGCAATTGGACTCTAACTGAAATTATGATTCCAGGTTATTGGTTTAAATGACTTGAAAAAGATAGACTTTCATGTAACACTGAATGAACAGTCGTACATTCAGAGGAGCAAAAATGAAGACTTTTGGTATATAACATGTACACGCCTCTCAGTAGAAAGAATGATTCCTTTCACAATTTATTATAGAGTGGCGATCAATTGATGGGTGGATTCTTCTTCCAAAAGGTGAGGCATCCATAGTTAAATCAATTTTGTTTTTGATCTCAGACACGTGGGGGAGAGTTTTGCCCGTCACCACAGGCAGTGCAGGGAAGGCATCTGAAAATGCCGGCTCCAGACTGGACAGTGGGATGCTGGTGCAGCAGGAGAGGTGGAGGTGACCACCTCAGGGGCAGGGAGAACTGTCACTCAGCAACCTGCGTCCAGCAGTCCTGTCTGTTTAGCATCTCACCTCGAGGGTACTTCGGCAGGCAGGCAGGCAGGAAAAGGCCCTCAAGGCACCCAGGTGCTAATCCTGGCCTGTGCTCCCTTACCTGGCAGGAGTCTTTGCTGATATCCAATTAAGGATCTCAAGGTGGGGGATTTTCCTGGAGAAACTTGAATTTTGCTTCTACCTTCTCTCTGAATATAGAGATGATTTTCGGTGATTAATTTGTTACTGACTGATGCAGCTCTTTGTGAGAGGCACTAAAATGTCTTTGTAAACTTCACATGGGATTGGATGTGTCTACTCCAACAGTCCTCGGTTGTGGAAGGCCGTGAGGTTTTCTTGAGCAGGAAAGCAGCTTCCCCCTCAGGCCCAGGGGATGCCTTCCTGGGGCTCTGTGTTCTTCCCCGTCTAGTCTGCGCTTCCCCATGGACATCCAAGGCTCTCGAAGTGCTCATCCCCCTGAGTTCACCCCCCGCTATTCTTTGCTATTCAGCTTACCCTTGGCACAGGTGCTGTCAAGTGCTCACAAGCCAAACCCACACCTGTCCGTCTCTCTGGGTGTCCCACCACACGTCCATGGGGGACTGCCCTCATCCTGTCTCTTCAGGACTGTCCCAGCATCCTTGCTCAGCGTCGGCCTCCTGCCCCCCTGGGAGCTGGAGTCTCAGCTCTCCCTGCTGGCGAGGCTTCGGGCCTCATGGCTTTGCTCTAGGTTTCCTTCTGTCCTATGAGCGGTGCTCACAGGGGTCCCCCCCACCTGGGGCGGGGTCCCCCCCCACCTGGTCAGTCATGATTTCCTTATGTGCAAAACAGCCGGTTCACTGAAGATGAAAAACAGAGAAGGTACGCAGAGGGCTGGCCGGCAGCATGGCCAGTGCCCTCCCATCCTGTTCCATGGCCACCGCCCAGAGGTGGGCAGTGTGTGGCTTCACGAGCGGAGTTGGGTCAGCTGGTTTCTAGCGGGGAGACTCAGGGGTAGCTTGTGAAAGAAACGAGTAAAGCCCAGAGCATCTCCTGCCGCTGACGTGAAGGAAGAAGTCTTGCTTTCTCTTTTCCATATCTAGCTCAGGATGCGGGGGTCCTCTGCCAATTCACCCATAGAAGACTTTTAGAAGACGCGAATATTGGGCACTTCTATGGAGACACTAGTGAGACTTCATCCCAGGTGAGTGCGCTACTTCCCGAGTTCTCTCAGAAGGGCAGGGCAGGCTCATCAGCTAACAACCAGATCCACTCTACACAAATTAGGCCCCCCTCTGGGGACCACAGGGAACAAAAGGCAACCAATGTGGAGACCCAGGCAGATGGAATGACTGCAATGGCTCCTGGTGACAGCTACTGGGCTCCCGGCTTTCGAGCCTCCTTTTCCCTTTCACACCAAGACACAGACACACATAGATGGACACGCTGACGCACACAGACACACAGATACACATGAATACAGACACACAGACACACAGATAACCCACAGAGACACACACAGATCTGCCCCCCACCTCACAGTAGGAGCCTCTGCAGGGCAAGGACACGTTGTGGCCACCAGGTGTCACTGTGTGAGCCGTGCTGGAATCCCCGGGTGCTTCCAGGAGTGTCAGTGTGCCACCTTCTGGATGACCTTTGATGAAAACAGACCTGCCGAGGAGCCCGACAACAAATTTTATTAGTAACAGAAAATCCATCACCAGACTCACTATAGAATCACACGATTAGCCTTTCTTATCTGAGGTGGTCACAGTAAAAACATCTAAAGAAACGAATCAGAAATTGCCCACTTTATTGGGCTCCTATGAATTGATGGGAAAGGGCAATTTGAAATGGCATCAAGTCTTCCCATGCATGAGTTTTCGGTGAGGGGGGTGACTCAGCTATCTAATAAAGACTTCTCATTCACTCACAGGTGGAGATGACACCTCATTCATCAGGTCAGATGCTGTATGCAAGAAATCAGGCTGCTTCCTCTGCAAGAAATCAGGCCGCTTCCTCTGCAAGAAATCAGGCTGCTTCCTCTGCAAGAAATCAGGCTGCTTCCTCTGCCTCATGGAATTCAGACTCCCCTCTGTGCTGCCATGTACAGCTAGAACAGTGACATCATCTCTCTTGTGTAACCAGCATCCTTAATAAGCCTGAAGTCTGCATTCTCATGCCAACAGGTCCTTCCACAAAGGCAATCCGCACCTTCAGAAATCAGAAGCCATTTGGCAATATGACCTGCAGTGTCACGTGGTGCATGCCTGCGGACACCGCTGAGTCTAGACCGCAGGCGTTCTGTGAGGGCTAGGCACTTCAAGGAGTCACATTTTTACAAAAGAAGTGCCTTCACTATTATTAAGTTTCCGTGGTCCATCTCACAGTGGAGCCTCACATGGGTACAGAGAGGGCAGAGAGGCCTGCCACCTTTTAGAATCCGATCACATATCAGACTTCCAGTTTCACCATGGCTTGGCAAGGGGATTCATGGGTATAAGCTAATGAAACAGAGTTATTAAGATGGTACAGGGAAAGTCGGAGGTCAGGGCTCTGAGGCTGAGCTGCGGCCAGAGGCACCAGGTATGGGGCTGCAGCTCCCTTCCTGAGGACGCTGCGGTGAGGCCCTGTCCCTGCTGCCCTTGGGTGCCAGTGTGGCAGAGGGTACGCAACGCTCGAGGTCACCCCTGGAGTCGCTTGGCCAGTTGTCTGCTGTCCAGCTCACAGTCCTCCTCCTGAACCAAAGCCCCCTGAGAGCCTCTGCCTGGGCAGGGGGAGGTGCCTTTGGCTCCCGTCAGAGAGCAGCCTCCGGCCTCAGTTTCCAGATGAGAGGCTGGTCAGGCGCCACCAGGGCAAGGTGCCAGAGTGGGGGAAGGGCCAGGGGATAGTCAGCTACCAAGACAAAGGTGTCCCCTGTCGAGTGAGGGGCTCAGATGTGAAACTGAGAGCCATTCATGGGCAGACTCAGGGAGGTTGTAGCTGAGGTGTGTGTGGTGTGCCACTGGGTTCACAAGTGTCCATTTTCAGGGAGACATCTATCTGAGTGCTAAGCGGGGCCACCATGATGTGGACACGGTGGTTGCTATCCTCTTTCCTGCACGGCTGAGTGCTCGGATCCACTGCCCACCTGCTGGTACCCACGCTCAGGTACCTGAGAGCACCTCTCCCAGGCACGACATGCGGGACCCTGGAGCACCTGCTGCCCCCCGTGCAGGACCCTGGAGCACCTGGTACCCCTCACCAGCTCCTCTCCCACACACATTGTGCAGGACCCTGGAGCACCTGGTACCCCTTACCAGCTCCCCTCCCACACACACCGTGCAGGGCCCTGGAGCATCTGATGCCCCCCGTGCAGGACTCTGGAGCACCTGGTGCCCCCTCACCTGCTCCTCTCCCACACACACTGTGCAGGGCCCTGGAGCACCTGGTGCCCCCCTCACCAGCTCCTCTCCCACACTCACTGTGCAGGGCCCTGGAGTACCTGGTACCCCTCACCAGCTCCTCTACCACGCTCACTGTGCAGGGACCTGGAGCACCTGGTGCCCCCCTCACCAGCTCCTCTCCCACACTCACTGTGCAGGACCCTGGAGCACCTGGTACCCCTCACCAGCTCCTCTCCTACGCTCACTGTGCAGGGCCCTGGAGCACCTGCTGCCCCCCATGCAGGGCCCTGGAGCACCTGGTGCCCTCTCACCAGCTCCTCTCCCACACACACCGTGCAGGACCCTGGAGCACCTGCTGCCCCCTCACCTGCTCCTCTCCCACACACACTGTGCAGGGCCCTGGAGCACCTAGTACCCCTCACCTGCTCCTCTCCCACACACACTGTGCAGGACCCTGGAGCACCTGGTGCCCCCTCACCTGCTCCTCTCCCACACACACTGTGCAGGACCCTGGAGCACCTGGT